TTGCAAACCTTAAAACACTATAAATGTTATCTCTAGTTATTATTAGCAGTCACTTGATGCAGGCTGTCCACACCACACCACCACCATCCCCCCCCTCCCCGCCACACACACACACACACACATACACAGGTATGTTGACCCAACCCCAGGGGAATAGCAGCAGAGGTGCTCCCTGCCTCCTGTTGACAACTGGAGTTTTTAAAATCCCATTGAAAGTACTTTTAAAAGATAACAAGATACTTATTTCCATTACCAAGCACTGCCTCTGTTCTAGCACTCAGAGGATTATGAGCAAGGACTCCCAAAGGTCCACTCTCCTTCCTCTAACTCCTCATCTCAACAATGAGATGGAGAAGATCTGGACTGGAAAACTCTTCCAGTCAAGTCCCTCAACCTCATTTTAAAATTCATGTTTCCAGTAACTTCACTTTTAGTTCACATCCTCTTAGGATTTCAAACAAAATGCTTCTATAGCATCACCACACAGCCTTTTTTGATTTCTCCCCAAAACCAAAGGGGTAGCATTAGCCTGGGAGCTGTGTATGGGATGAGGGGGCAGCCTAAGATCAACTCCTGCCTTCAAAGAGCTAACAGTATGGCTATGAGAGAGACAATAAATACAAAATGGATATGTTGATGGGCCAGATAATATTGGTTGTCTGTCCCAAATAATCTTCTCTTTAATCATAGAACTGCAGATTTGGGAGGTGAACCTCAGAGACCATCTGATACAGCCCCTACCCAAAAGGGAAGCTCCTCTTAAACATCCTTGACAAATGGTCATCCAGACTCTGTGAAGCTTCTCTGCCTTTAAGGTCACACCCAACATGGTAGTTTTCTCACAAAGATGTTTTATTTGCCAATTTTACAATAATCTGACACTATGTATGTACTATGTATGTATGTGTGTATATATATATATATATATATATATATATATATTTTTTTTTTTTTTTCCTCCAAGCCTGTCAAGTTATCTCAGGAGATACAGATTCATCCCTGGACTTTCAGCTCCATCTAACCTTATCAGTCCCTCCAGATATTTCATTTTAGCCCAACCCTACTGGCTTGTTCCTATTGCCTAGCCATGCCATCACATGCATAGAAGAAGCATTTAATAAACCAGTGGAAATTAATCATATTTTTAAAAGAATTCAAACCAATCTGTTTCTGGCTTTAAATTTTCTGATCCCAGACTTGAAGTTACTTCTTACTTTTAGGGTTAGAAAACATTCTATTTAAATTTTCCTCTCTATTAGTACAACAAGGTGAAATGAACTTAATTTTTAAAAAATATTCTAGTGATGCATTTTATCCTTATTTCTTGAAATTTCTTTTTTTCATTTCTTGAAAGGAAAACCATCTACTTCAAAGTATACTTTGTCTTATGACAAAGAGTGAGATTTAAGTAAAACCATTTGATATATGACCACAGCTAACAATGTATGCAACATTGTGTGCAGTTTCAGTCCAATTCTATCCAGAATCATTCTGTCCAATCCCACTTTCTGCTTTAAGAAGGAGGTATTGGGTATGCTCTTTTTTTTTTAACTCATGATTACAAAACACTGCTTACCTCCTGTGCCAGAACCCATTTGTGGTTCAAATGACTAAGATTCACATTATGCTTTCCAGCTTCCAAAGTTCTTTCCTCACAATGAACATGAGGCAAACAGCAAAAATGTCATTCTATCCATTTTAAAGGTAGGAAAATTGAGGTTTATAAAGGTAAAATGATTTCCTCAAGAACTGGGGGTAAAACCCAGGTTTTTCTGACTCCCAGGTCACTAAATTTTCCATGGTACCATTCAACATCTCCAGAGGCTTTTCAGCTCAGTTCCATAGATTCAGGTATTGTAGCTGAAAAGTTAGAGAATTTGTATGGCCTTAATGCTACAATACGTAATGACCTTGGACAAACCACTCAGATTCTTGGGTCCTTTTTTCTCTCTTAGAGAGGGTAATTAATCCTTATTGTCTGTTATTATGATCTCTCCTGCTGAGGCGACCAGATAGTGCTAGGACAAGCTCTTCTGTTAGTGTTACTACCAGGATGCTAACTTCTCATAGCTGAAGTGGAGGGTGAGGAGCTAGGAGAGCCCCTCCTCCTATTTTCTGCTCTAGAATAAGTTACTCATCTATTTTCAGTGTCCTGGCTCGTAATCTAGAGTCTAGACTCAACTTCTCAGCCTTGCCAGTCAACAGTCAGGAGAGCAAGGCTCAATTTCTAGGACATCAAGGATAGTGGTCATATAACCTTGCCTGTCAAGCTTCTTAGGGAAATTGGGGCTTGCTTTTTCACCCATTTTCTTTCTGACTCAGAGCTGTAACACTGTTATGAGAGTCAGAGTTTAGTATTGGCTCTGCCATTGACTAGCTGGCTAACCTTGGAAGGGGTAGGGGTAGGGAGGTGAAGAAAAAGAAAAGGAGAGGCAGAAACAGACAGAGGAGAGAAAGGGGGTGAGAAGAGGAATAAGGTGAAGGAGAAGAGATACAGGGGGGAAATAGGGAGAAAGGGAAAGACAGAGGAGTAAGAAGGGAGATGAAGACAGAGAGGAGAGAGGGAAGAAGGGGGAGAGAGGGAAGGAGGGGAGTAAAGAAGTAAAGAGAGAATGAGGGGGCAGAAAAGGAAAGAGGAGGAAGAGGAAGAGGAGAGAGAGAGAGAAAGAGAGAGAGAGAGAGAGAGAGAGAGAACGTTCTAATTTTTCCCCCTTATTTTTCAAGGGCAAAAAACTGAGATACAGAAAACAACCTCTCCAAAACCATGTGGCAATAACCAGAGCTTCAGGCAAAAACCAGGCTTTCTGACTTCCTGCCCAGAAATTTCCTCAATTTATAATGTTTCTCATATGTATTTTCCTTAGGGGTGATGGTGGAGAGAGGTGGCAGGATAGAGAGATTGTTTGTAATTATTTTACAGCCAGAGCCGAGCCTAACTCCTCCTCAGAGGCTGCATGGGAAATAGACCGTGTTGGGAGTCAGAGGAAAGGGGTTTGAATTCTAGCTCTGACCTCAATCAGGTTCTTTCCCTTCTCTGGGCCTTTATAACCTCATCTGTAAAATACCAGGGTTAGCAGGAAAACAATTTGCAAAAGGAATATAGCAACAGAAATAGGGAGAACAATAAAACAAAACTGAATGTTATATCATCGTAATGACCAAGGCTGGCCTCAGAGAAGAGATGTGAGCCTGTACCCCACTCTCTTCACCAGAGAGGCCAGAGAATAAGGGTAGGAAACATTTCGTGAGCTCTCAGACACGGCTGATATGTCCCTTGTTTTTGATGAACTGGTTTGTGTGTCGGTTGGGGGTGGATTGAATCTTTGTTATAAGAAAAGACTCCTTGGGTAGGGGACAGGGAAAGAGGTATATTAAGAAATTAATGTGGTATAAAAGCAAAAGTAATCAATAAAATTTAAATATAAATATAAATATTAAATTAAATTAAAAATAATGGTGTAGGGGCAGCTAGGTGGCCCTTCTGGCCCTGAAATCAGGAGGACCTGATTTCAAATCTGACCTTAGACACTTACTAGCTGTGTGACCCTGGGCAAGTCACTTAACCCCAGTTACCTCCAAAAAAAATGGTGCAGGGGGAAGAACATTAGATTTAGAGACAGGCTCCAATCTCACCTTTGCCACAAAAGTTTTGATCTTGAGTAAATTACTTAGCCTCTTTAGTTTCCTCATCTGTAAAATGAGGAGGTTGGATGATGACCAGAGGATTCCAGAGGACTCAAGATTAAACATGTTATCCATCTCCTGATAGAGAGGTACTCTAGTACCTCAGAGTACAGACTAAGACTGATTTTTTTGGACATGACCAATGTGGGAATTCATTTTGCTTAACTATATGTGTTTCTAATGTTTTTTTTTCTTTTTTTCTCAATTAGGGGGGTGAGGTTGACAGGTAGGAGGGAGAAAATGCAGATCTGAAAATAAAATAAAATAAAATTTAATTAAAAATGAGGAAGTTGTGTTAAATAACCTCTGAAGCCCCTTCTAGCTTTAAATCCCATCATCTCTAACATCCTTACCAGCCTATGATTCTATGAAGTATAGATATTCAACTTCGTTATAATTATTCTAGGAGAATTTGGTTTAATAGACCATTGCTGTATACAGTGAGAAATTCAAGGTGGGTTTACCCACCTATCTTTCCTACTTTCTTTAATTAACAACAGCACCCTATTGTTGCCTGCTTGTGGTCCACCCCAACACTTGAATCTCTTTCAACTAGGTTTTAACCATAGAGAGTGGAAAAATTATAAGGTTTTAGAAAGTTCACAGAACTGTTTTGGTCTTGTGGAATGAATCATGAGAAATGGTGGTTTTTAGTTTGTGTTGGCAATCTGGCATCCAAATGATTCTGACTTTTTGGAAAGAAAGGAGAAAAATCACCCAGGAGGAAGATAGATTGGACAAAGAGGGTGTGGTTTGGGGAGGACCATAGAGGTTTCAGCAGTAGCAGTTTATTGAAAAGAGAAGGCTGTAGTAACCTCCCAGGTGGAGAGTGACAGATTGGCTACTGGAGAATGATTAATTGCTAGGCAGCCTCCCTTCCCATGTGGAGCTGGCGTCCCTGTGGCGGGCTGGGGTAGCTGTTGTGGGTTTCAGAGCAATCCCAGCATGTCTTTCTTCAGGACCATTAGGGAAAAGTCAGGCTGCAGGAAGGAGCCTAGGAGGAAGGTAGAGAGGTGGGGGGGGGAACAGTTTCTGGTTTCTCACCTGGTAGCTAATCTAGGAAGCACCTGTGACGGTGAGGCAGCAGCTGCTGGGACTATGGAGGGGGAGCTCTGTACTGCTCTTCCCAACACTGAGCCCTGCTGGAGCCCACCACTCAGGGGCTGAAGGTGGGGTTTGTGTCCTTGGGGCTGGGAAGAGAGAGCTCCTGGCTGGGGCCATCCTGAGCAGCCAGGGCCAGGCAACTTCTGTCGAAGCAGAGGCTGGGCTCTCAAGGGGGCTGGCTGATCAGCTGCAGTTTTCTCTCATCTGACAGCTCCTTTCTGTCTCTATGAAAGCCCCAGAGACACTATCAAAGGCCATCCAGTCTTTGCATCCAGGTGAGCTAGTTCATCAGCTGCCTTACTGAAATGAGAACCTTCCCCACTTTGGGGAGGACTGCTTCGTCCCCTTTCTGAATGATGCAGTGTCAGAGAAAAAACACTGGCCCGGCTTCAGAAATACCTGGTTTGGAGTCCTAGCAATGCCACATGCTATTTGTGTGACCTTAGGTAAGTCATTTAACCTCTAAGGGCCTCAATTCTCTCAACTGTAAAATTAGGACTTGGCTTAAATGACCTCTAAGGTCTTTTCTTGCTCCAGAACCAATGAAGCGAATCTCGAAGCTCATAGTGTTTGCCCTCATTCTGGTAGCTTAATCAGCCTTTCTGAGGTCCCCTGCAGTGCTAGCACTCTGATCTAGAAATTTGGGGATGAAAAAATTCATTAGTATATAAGCATCATGGGGAACAAGGACGTTTTGTTGTTGATATTGGGTCTATTTTTTGTGTGTGTGTGTGTGTATCCTTATCATCTGGGATAGTGTCTGGGACCTAGAAGGCACTTGAAAAATGTTTGCTGAATTGAAATGAATTGAATCAAAACCAATTGCTGCTGTAGGATAAGTAATATAAAAATCTGGTGAAAATCAGATGTTCTTCTAGGCCTGCAAGGGTGGGGAACCTGCAGCCTGGAGGTCACATGTGGCCCTCTAGGTCCTCAAGTGCAGCCCTTTAACTGAATCCATATTTCTTAAAAAAAAAAAAAGGCTGATTAAGGCTGATTCAGTCAAAGGGCAGCACTTGAGGACCTAAAGAGTCACATGTGACCTCAAGGCCACAGGTTCTCCACCCCTGTAGGTCATTTTGTAGGCACCAGAGGGTCTGCTGGTCACTGCTATTATCACCCACCCAAAATATCAGAAGAAAGAAAGGAAATTAGCCCCATGGAGAAGACAGCTGGGGAGATCAAAATTCAGGACAGCTACTGGAAAGAGCAATTCCCTTTTTTTCCTGGCCTTTCCATTTCCCTGGGGACTCAAGGGAACAGTCAAATGGGGTGACCTCCCCAGGCAACTACTGATAGAGTGGGAGGGAGAGGGCACACTTTCCTTTGGTTTTGCTCTCAGGAAGCAATAGCTTGTGTAAATTTAGTATTAGGATAATAATGAAAGGTTGTAGAAAGACTGTGCAACTATGAGGTAACAGGGGCCCAATGTATATAGAGCTATGAATGAAAGAATTGATTGACTGATTAATGAAATACATTTATTAAATGCTTATAATATACCAGGTGCTGTGCTAAGTGCTAGGAATACTTATACAGAAAAGAAAAACAGTTTCAAGTCAACAAGAGAACAGGCATTTATCGTGCTCCTACTATGTGCTAACCACATAATGGGAAAAGCTTATTTCTAATAGAGAGAGCCAGGAAAGAGTTAAGTTATAGAGAGGGAGGAGGGCATAGGGCAACAACTGACATGCCCTTTCCAGAAGCAATGATGGTATTGATTTAATTACTATTCCCAGAAGGAGTGTTGGAAAGGATTGGGGGAAGGGGGAGAGGGGAAGAGGGAGGGGGAATTCACATGTAATATGGGGTCATGGCAGGAAGATGATGTGGTCAGGTGACTGGGACCAGGTATAACAGGGTCTCACCAATCAGCTCTGGCCTCAGGCCAGGAACCAGAGTTTCAGTAGGGAGGGTAGTAGTTTTGGCAGAAAGATGTCTTTGCAAAATAAAGTCAAACTGAAAATAGCCCGTCTAGGGCAACCATCACTGGACCTGACCTCATAACCTACAGCCACATCTAAGCACAGCCAATCAATCATCGTTGCAGGTTGGACATGTCTCAGGCCATTCTGTGGTCACTGGAGAAGAATGAATAAGAGCTAAAAGGTTGTATTATGAGCAAAAGAAATAAAAGGTCTGGGAATGTTAGAGGAGAGAGAAGCAGGGACTAGACAGGAAAGAAAAAGCAAAAGCTTTTATATTCTGAAAACAGTAATAGTAATAATAGTAGCTATATTCATTTACAGCAACAATGTGAGAAGGGTAGTGGAAGCATTACTATCATGAATACCAGGAAGAATTTTTCATTTCAATGAAGAAATTTAAGTACAGAAGGCTAACTTACTTCCAAGGTCCTACATCTAATAAATACAAGGGCTTAGACTTGAATTCAGGTCTTCAAACCCCAAGTCCAAGGCTTATGGGTTTTATAGGATTTACAGCCAGAAGAAGCTTAAAGATCAGATAGTCAAAATTTCTCACTTTTCAGGTCCTAAGACGTTAGTTAAGTGACTTGCCCAAGGTTACATAGGCAGTGAATAGCAGAGTTGGGATTTGGACTCTGGTATCCTAATGCCCCATCAAGTGCTATTTCCAAATGGGCACCATGCTACTCTGTTATGCAAATACCATTCAGTAGCTAGATAATGCATTTATTAAGTGCTTACTATGTGCCAGGCACTGTGCTAAGTGCTAGGGATACAGATATAAGCAAATAGATAATGCCTACCTTCAGGGAGCTTACATTCTAATGGGAGAAGACAATGCATAAAAGGAAGTTCAGGCTAAAAATAGTCCAAAAAGGGGCAATAATATCCATAAAAATGAAAATATTAACAAAATAGAAAAAGAGAGGATTAATACCCCCATAGGGAAAAGGTGGAGAGTTAGGAGCAGAGATGAGAGACATATGATCATAGCTGGCTTGGAAACGTCCTCAATGTGTTGGAATGAAGTTTTTTTTTCCATTTATGGGACAACTTTTTCTTTCCTCCACCACAAAAGACTCTCAGGAGTCTTTGAACAAATACAGAAAGCATGAAACACTCACATAATCCACTACACTCATTGTACATCCCTTCTTCTCTGCTTCTCACCCACTAAAGTCCCTTTGTGAGATTGCTGAACAACAGATAGCTCAAATTCACCTTAGACCTGAAGACTGAACACACTCTTTTTAAAAATTCAGTTTCATTCCCTTCTACCTCCTGCCCCCATTGAGAAAGCAAGAAAAACAAAACCCGTTACAAACATGTATAGTCCAGCAAAACAAATTTCCGCATTAGCTATATCCAATATGTATGTACATATGTATGCAATATAATGGGGCAGCTAGGTGGCATAGTGGATAAAGTGCTGGACTTGGAGTCAGGTGGACCTGAGTTCAAATCCAGCCTCGGACACTTGTTAGCTATTGAAGCCTGTTTGCCTTAATTCCTTATCTATGAAATGAACTGGAGAAGGAAATGGTAAACCTGCCAAGTTTCTTGGCCACGAAAACCCCAAATGGAGTCACAAAGAGTTGTACACAACTGATCCACTAAACAACAACAGGAAGCCTTCCCCAGCTCTTCTTAATTCTAGTGTTTTCCCTCTGTTAATTATTTCCTATTTATCCTGTATATAGTTTGTTTGTAAAGATTTGTTTGTATGCTGTCTCCCCTTATTCGTTTGTAAGCTCCTTGAGGGCAGGGACTGTCTTTTGACTCTTTTTGTATCCCCATTGTTTAGCACAGTGCCTGGCACATAGTAGGCTCTTAAGAAAGGTTTGATTGATGCAGAGGTTAAGTGACTTGCCCAGGGTCACACATCTAATATGTGTCTGAAGGTGGATTTAAACTTGTTTTTCTGACTCTAGATCCAGTGCTCTATCTGCTCTGCCACCTAACTTCCTCTGAGTAAGCAGGTGCAGGATCAAGTGACAATTAAACCGGGCTTCTGAGCCCAAAGGAATGAGAGCTGAGACTTTGATTCACTTTGGTCTCAACTATTCAGATAAAGCGATGATTGTCTCTGCATTGGACTTACTGGGGTTGGGGAAGGGATTGTACTAATGATGGTGTAATGAGGAGACTCTGGATTTGAGGTCTTGGTAAGAATACCTGGGTTTGAGCACCTACCTTGCACTGGCTATGTGAGCATGGGTAATCCTATAGTGGAAGGTGCTATGATATTTTGTACTACATTGTTTGCGTGTTGTCTACCCCATTAGACTGTAAGCTCCTTGAGGGCACAAGTTGTCTTTTGTCTTTCTTTGTATCCCGAGCACTTAGCACAGTGCCTGGCACGTGGGAGATGTTTAATAAATGCTAGTTGACTGGCTGATTGAGTTTTAAAGATTTTTAAAATATGTAGTCCCTTTGCTCAAGAATTTATCTGTGTGTGTGTGTGTGTGTGTGTGTGTGTGTGTGTGTGTGTGTAGACAGAGAAATATGACAAGTATGCTAATAAGTTTGTCATTTCACCTCTAGATGGGCCTCAGTTTCTTCACCTGGGAAATTGATGGGTTGGAATAGATGAACTTTCAAGGTTCCTTCCAGCTCTGATATTTCATAAAATACCAGGAGAGCACTTTATACACTTTCTCCCTTCCATGGTTACAAACTCAGTCTCCCTTCCACTGGGACCTTTAGATCTTTGCCTCCTCTGTGAGTTCTGGATTTAGAGCCAGATATACCTAGGTTTCAGTCCTGGCTCCATCACTAATCAGTTGTGTCTCCAACGGCAATGCAATTGAACTCTCTGAAGCTCAGTTTCCTCATCTATAGGATGGCACTATCAACAATCATAACTATCCACATTATCATAGGGTGGCTGGAAGAATCCAATTAGGTTATATACCTGAAGCACTTTATGTAATCATAATCATAAATGTAGGCTTTTCTATAAGAGTTCATCTAGTCACTTGATGTCTGGCTCCAACAGATAATTTTTTTCCTGTCCCTATAGCTACTTTTATCTTTAGGTCAAGAAACTGCCTTCTTTCCCACCCCCAATCCCAACAAATATTCTGACTTTTCTTTTCTCCAAAACTCAGAATAAATAAAGCATCTGTCTTCTGACCAAGAGCTCAACCAATAATGAGTTCTTCATTTCTGGAGGATGGCCTGACTAGAGTGGAAGGTACATATAGGAGAATAGTGAATAAACAGGTTAAAAAGGTCGGTTGGAGTAGATGTAAAGGGCCTCGTCTTATAACTTAGACTTGATATGCCAGGCAATGGGGAGCCTTTTTAGGTTCATGACCCTACATGGAATGTCATGGTGCAGGTTCTACCCCAGTGGTTGAGTGTAACATTCTACTTGTCTGGGATTGGCAGCCACATCTTTGCTTGGTTTGGGAAGGGATTTTGTAGACATAGGAAATTGCCATTCTAGAAGTCAGTCACCTGCTGTTGTTCAGGTGGAGGAGGGGAGAACATTAGGAACTTTTATAGAAACC